CTTCCTTCCTTCCTTCCTTCCTTCCTTCCTTCCTTCCTTCCTTCCTTTCTTTCTTGATGTTATGAAAATGTTATAAAATTGATCATGTTATGGTTGCACATATCTGTGATTATTCTCAAAATTAATTGGGTTGTATACTTTCAATAGGTAAATTGTATATTATATGAACTTTATCTTAATAAATCTGCTTTTTAAAAAAATTTAATTCTCTAGGATAGAATAGATTTTCATTTTAGCTATCTTCCAAAAATAAACTTTATTTTTTAATGCAAACTATAACAAATGTGTTTTTCAATTATTTTGATCCATAACATTCATTGTTTTGGCTTTTAGTCAGTTATTCTTTTTATTAGTCCACAAGTAATACTTGTACATATTTATGAAATACAGTATGGTAATTTAATGCATCTACACATTGTGCAGTGATCAAATGAGGTAATTAACATTTCTATTTCCTCAAACATTTATCATTTTCATGTTTTGGGAACCTTCAAACTCTTCGAGAAGAAACCTTGATTTTTATAGTAATTTCTAACTTACAAAAAACTTGTGAAGGGCTGTGGATGTGGCTCAAGCGGTAGTGCGCTCGCCTGGCATGTGCGCGGCCCGGGTTCGATCCTCAGCTCCACATACAAACAAAGATGTTGTGTCTGCCAAAAACTAAAAAAATAAAATAAAATAAATATTGGAAAATTCTCTCTCTCTCTCTCTCTCTCAAAAAAAAAAAAAACTTGTGAAGATATTATGGAGCGTTCATATATACCTAATACTTAATTTCTCCAATTGTTAACATCCTAAATTGCTATGCTACATTTGTTATAACTAATTAACTAAAATTGATACATTATTGTTAATTAAAATCTTTTTTTACCATCCAATTTCCTTAGTTTGGCTCCTTCCTTTTTCTCCTCCAGTATTATTTTTTAAGAACATGCCTAACTATATTCTAAAGTGGTTATACAATTTTATAAAAGATGAAGTGAGACACTGCTTGTGTTGCTCTCTAGCAGCAAATGTTTAGAATTGGTTGGAGACAGGGCTGGGGTTGTGGCTTAGTGGTATGGCACTTGCCTAGCATGCATGAGGCACTGTGTTCAATCCCTGACACCACATAAAAATAAACAAATAAAATAAGGGTATTATGTCCATCTACAACTAAAAATTTTAAAAAGAATTGGTTGGTGTCAAAACATATAAACATGAAGTAATTAAGTCAAGAAGAAGCCAATGTACCAGGTGCCAAATGAGTCAACAGGCTAGTAAGTGCTATAGAAGTCAACCTTTCAGGACTTGCAAAATGCTATTGTTTATTTGATTTTTGTTACATCCCTTCTTCCACCTTTCCCAACACCCACCTGTGGTTTAAAAAAGGACCATATTATATTTACAGTGGAGGAGAGTTATAGAAAATTTATTTTGAAAATTTCACACAACCAAATTACTAACTACAGACACTTTAGGAGAAATAAAGAGGCAGAAATTTCTGGCCAACAAAAACATATAGTTGGCCATTTTGTAATATTAATTGTGAGATCTGTAATTTATTTGGGAGCTTGAGTGGGTTCCAGCATTCCTTCAGGCTATGGCCATTTATGCTAACCTAGAAGTTAACTACTAGACCCTGTCTTCTAGCCTTCAAAGCTAATGTCCTTGAAACAAAGCATACAAGATTTTTATACAGCCTGACAGATTGGAACAAATCAGGCAGTTTATAATAAAAAAAATTGCTAATCATCCTATTACTAGAACCAAGAGAAGACATATATTCTTTCACAGACAATTCTTACACATTGTCTCCAAAGGAAATAACTCTGAAGGTAAAACACTGTGGATTTTGATTAGGGGATTCCTCTCGAAGACATTTCTGTAAACAAAATTTAATTTTGAAAGCATGGCTCTCCTTCAGAATTTTCTCTGTCACTCCAGGTTATTATAAAAAAATACTGTAGACTGGATAATTTATAAATAGTAAAATTTGTTGCTCACATTTCTGGAGATTGGAAAGTCCAGGATCAAGGATACAGATTTGTTGTCTTGTGGGACCCTGTTCCTCATAGATGGTGACTTCTTTGTGTCCTCATAAGCAGAAAGAACAAAGGAGTTCACTTCAGTCTATTTTATTATAAGAGCACTATCACATTCATAAAGTTGGGCCCTTCAGGGCTTAACTAATTTTCAGAGGACTCACCTCCTAATCCTATCATATTGAGTATTAGGTTCTAACATATGAATGGAAGCACTAATGTTCAAACTCTAGAAGGGATGTTTTATTAGATTTATTATTTTAATTGAATTATAGCTCTTATGTTGTGCACACATGTCAAAAGTCTGTTGCTTTAAAAAGTGGGTAGTGATTACTAGGCATTGAGAAATGCATGTGGGGGGATGGTGGTTGGATTTGATCAGTGCACGATGTACACACGTATAAAATATACCGAATTCCATTATTATGTAAAACTAGTATATATTAATAAAATTTTTAAAAGTACATTGCCAAGTAGATTAAAAGTGGGGATATAAATAAATAGCTCTCAGGCAGTTGACTTATGGAGAAGCTGTCCTAGAGGCGTAGAATCTGGCAGGAAGACTAGCCCCTCAGCCTAGGTTCTCAATTTCCTAGGCAGCAGCTTGATCCTACAAGTATGTGTTGCAACTTTTAATCTCTTAGTAGTGCCCCAAAGGAATGGAGGATTTTTTTTTAAATCACTCAGGGGAAAGATTTGGATACACACCGAGGGCTTGATGATATAATGTCACTCAGATTTCAAAAAGTGTCACCTCTGTATTTAGCAGATTCCCTGAAGCTTGACTAGAATATGAGATGAAATTCTGGCCAGCATTTTAGAGTTCTCATTTGTTTGCTCTCTGGGTCATTTTGACCACTGAGGACTCTAACAGCTCCTGATTTGCAGCTCATTGCCAAAGCACTTAGACCCTGCACTGGGCATACACATTCCCCTTTATCTCCCTTTAAGCAAAGATTGGCAAAGGCCTCCCATGTCTCTGATGTTGCTAAGAGACTAAGCCCCAAGAAAATCTGAGCTCAAATGTAGCATCTATTCACAACTGCCAGCCTGTCCCAGGCAACT